TAAAATGCACACGGACATTCAATTATTCTCAAAGATTTTAATATAATTCTTTGTAAAATTTAATTATTTTTAAAAACTTTTCGTAATTCAATGATTTTCAATATCTACTATTTTCCAAAAAATTTCTAAACAGAATTTAATTATTTAAAAAATGTTTTGAAAAAATCTTCGTAAGAATTCAATTCTTTCCATGAATAATAACAATTTCTCATGACTTCAATTATTTACATTAGAATTTGCATAAAAATTGTCAAAAGAAATCAAGTCTTTAAAAAATTTTATAAAATTCTTCACAAGAATTAAATTATTTTTAGAAATATTCTAATTCTTTCATGAATAATAAAATTTCGTTGCGGGAATTCAATTTATTAGCAGGAGAAGAAAGAAGTAAATTTTTTTTTTTATGAAAATTAGGAAAAAGTCAGGAAAATAAAAAATATGGAATGGAATTTTTGTCACTTTTGTGAAGTTTCTAAAACGAGTTTTTTTGGTCGTCAAGTTTAATTTTTCGATAGCTACTTTTTTACTCCTTTTTTTAAAATTAATTATCGACTGCGAGGTCTGCAATTTTGACTGTTTTTAATGATTTTTAACAAAATTTTAATTTAAAATTAAAAAATGTTTTTATTTTGTCACCGTATAAAGATCTTTATACAGAAGAAAAAATTTGTTGCTCGTTTTTGTCAGAATTTTTATTAATTTTTCACTGAAATTTCATAAGTATTGACCTGGAAAAGCCTTTGTTTGTTTTTTTTAAATATAAAATTTGTTAGGGTGTGCGAGCGAGTGTAGACGAATTTATCGAAAGAAAGTATTTATTAAATGTATATTGAGATTAACAAATTACAAGGAATGTAATTAAACACGAAGTGAATGAATGAACTGATTGAAAGATTCTTTTAATGTGTGAGTGTTTTAAGTGAAAGTAAAAGAAAGGCGATTAAAGCGCCACACTGAATCTGAATATTAAAGTTCTGAGTAAAAATGTCGTAAGAGCGCGAATTACAATTCCCAACAAAATTTGTTCATGAATAGATTTTATTAAATTAAAATGTGGACGTGGTTATATAAATAAATTCCATATAAAATAAAAAAATAAAAATGATTAAAGTAAAACTAATAAAAAAAAAATATTGCAGAAATATTTTCACTATATTTATTAACAATGTATTCATTTCGTATTGAAAATTCATATAAATGCAAAGTAAATTAATAAAAATTCTGTAAAAAAAAAAAAATTTATAAAATAAAAATACAGTAAAGAATATAAGAGATATTTTGATGAATATCATGAAAGTTCGTTTAAACAACAATTTTGACTAATATGAAAATTCAAAAATTTATGTGACATTTGATGAAATAAAAATTTTCAATTTAATGAACATTGAACAATTGTTGTTTTTGCACATAACATGATAATGCAGATTAGTATTTACTTATACGGTTTGTTTTTATTTACATACACTGGGAATGTGTTTATTTTGATCTTTTTATATATAAACTCAACATTCACGAGCGCTACTATTCCATATAGATACGCGACAAAATTGTATCTTGTGTGTCAATAATCGTGATTCAATGTTGTCCTTAATAGTAATTTAGCTTTATAACACGATATTTATAGTATTAGTGCGTATATTTTGTTTTTTTGTTATTTTTTTTAAGAGAGTGACAGGATTTATTGTAATTGTATGAAGGCAAGGTAGTTATTACAGTTAGGAAATTGGTGCAAATAGGAAAGAAAATTGAGTACGCGAGACTGAGAAAGGGAGATGGAGAATATTGAGTATTAGTTGGCGAAAAGGTGAAAGAGAAGGGCAAATTGGAATTGACCGTAGAATTATAATTCGTGCCCACTTATTATAAAAAGCGTGATCAATAAAAATTCGAAATGTTACGAAAGTATTTAAAGTTCTGTTTATACGAATGTTTATAAACAAATATATTTCATATCTTCTTTATGCATATATAATATAAATTAATTATAAAAGTTAAAAAAAAATAATTTTTTCTCTTTCTATTCGGGGAATTTATAATTTTATGTTTCGAGAAAATAATTATAGTTCTTGTCATCAATTAGTTTTTTATTAACTCTCATTAGAATGTATAATTATTAGAATTAGGTTTTTTTTAAAATATTTGTTTAATGCTAATGTAAGTTGGAAAATATTTCTCTATTACAGGGTTGCCACAAGTCAGGAAAGTCAGGAAAATTAGAATTGGTCAGGGAAATCAGGGAAAAATCAGGAATTTTTATTTAAAGCACTGGAAAAAATTAAATTTTTAAAAATTTTTAAGAAAATTATGAATTTTTGTGTCCTTTTTGTTTGCCTTATAAACTATGAAATTGAAAAGAATCTTCGCATCAATTCAATTATTTTTAATTTTTTAATTAAGTTTCTCCAAAGAATTCAAATATATTTAAAGAATTAAAAAAAAAAAAAAATAGTTCTGAGAAATTCAATTATTTCGAAAAATTTAAATAAAATTCTTTTAAAAATTCTATTATTTAAAAAAATTTTGACAAAATTCTTTACAAGACTTACTAAAATTGCAATTTTAATAAAATTTCCCTATACAATTAAATTATTTTTAATACAATTCTTCTTAAGAATTCAATTATTTTCATAAATAATAAAATTTTTCTTGAGAATTCAATTATATTAAAAAATTTTGATAAAATGCTTTATAAATTTGAAAAATTATAATAAAATTGATCATAGAATACAATAATTTTCGTGAAATATAACATTCTTCCTAGAAATACAATTATTGTTAAAAATGTTTGTAAAAATCTTCGAAACAATTCAATTATTTTTGGGAGCGTTCATAAATGATGTCACGCAATTTTTAGAGATTTTAGACCTCCCTCCCTCCCCCCTGTCACGCAATTTCATGCAATTTCACATGTAAAAATACCCCCCCCCCCACCCTCAAAAACGTGACATCATTTGTGAAAGCTCCCTTTCGTAAAAAATAAAATTCTTCGAAGCAATTCAATTATTAGGAAATTTTAATAAAATTCTTTCCAACAAATTAATTATTTTCAAAAATAAACATTTTCACATGAATTCAATTATTCAAAAAAAATTTTTTTTTTATTCTTTGTCAGATTTCAATTATTTTCAATTTTTTAATGAAATTTCTTAATAGGAATTCAATTATTTTCATAAAAAGAATTCTTCACATTCAATTCTTTAAAACATTTTTTGATAAAATTCTTAGCAAGAAATCAATTATTTTCATAAATAATAAAATTTTTCTTGAGAATTCAATTATTTAAAAAAATTTTGATAAAATGCTTTATAAATTTAAAAAATTATAATAAAATTCATCATAGAATACAATTATTGTCAAAAATGTTTGTAAAAATTTTCGAAACAATTCAATTATTTTCGTACAAAGTAAAATTCTTCGAAGCAATTCAATTATTAAGAAATTTTAATAAAATTCTTTTCAAGAATTTAATTATTTTCAAAAATAAACATTTTTACATGAATTCAATTATTCAAAGAAAATTTTTTTTTTATTCTTTGTCAGATTTCAATTATTTTCAATTTTTTAATGAAATTTTTCAATAGGGATTCAATTATTTTCACAAATAAAATTCTTCACATTCAATTAATTCAATTGTTTAAAATATTTTTTGATAAAATTCTAAGGAAGAATTGAATTATTTTCATAAATAACAAAACTTATCGCAGAATTTCAATTATTTTTTATACAATTTAAATTTTAAATAAAATGATAGAAAATTGCATTTGTTAGTAAAATTTTTTTTTAAATTCGACAAAAGAATTCAATTATTTTTAAAAATTTTGATAGAAAATTTTTTAAGAAATATTCAATTATTGAATAAATTATTTATTTTTGTATTTAAATAATTATTGAATTCTCGAAAAACGTTCTAATAAAAATTAATTAAAAAATGAATTTCACTCAAAATTTTAAATTACAATTGAATATTAAAAGCATTATAGCGTGAATTTTTAGAAATGCAAATTGAATAATTTTGAAAATGGTTTAAATTAAAATCTTTGATAATTTGAATTTATAGTTACAATATTTTATGATATAAAATAATGATTTTATCACTCTGTCACCATAAATTTATTATAAAATATGAGGAAATCGATCACTCCAATTTCGAGTTTTTAAAGGGTTAAATTCCTAATTTATGACTACAAATACCCTTAAATTTAAAAAAAACCTATTATTTTAAAATAATATTTCTGTTACACATATGAATTTTAGATATATTTTGTCCTATCAAAAAATGGAAATTGTTTACTATTTTTTTTTTTTTTTTTTTTGAATTGAAAAACTATTCAAATCATTTTAGATTTATGTAGAAAAAAGCTTACTTGTAATTATAAAATTTTTTTTAAAATAATGAGTTTTAAAGTTTATTTTCTTTTAGGTAAATGTCGCAGTTTAATCTGGTTTTTACTCTAATTATAACGTTTTAAATTCTATGCGATTTTTAAATAGCAAGTAATTTACCAGTTTCATTTATTAAAATCTGCTTAAATAGAACAATTAGTTAAAATTAACTTCGTTTGTAAATTTAGAATTATAATTAATAGCAGATAAAAATGAGACTTCGTTCATAAGAAGGATATTTTCATCTTAAATAATTCAGGTCGCATTAAAGATTCGTCAGTTAATTTTTCTTCTTAAGGCCATGTGTAACAGGTGTCTATCATTGACTGGCCATTATATTGACCATTAATTCCAAATGCTCATAATACTTTCTCACCCTTTTGTTCAATATAATCACCCTAAAATATTTATCAATTTCCTTTTTCTCACCAATAATGATTATTATAATATTGTCTCAAGTGCAGTCTAAATAACCAATGTCTGTCCCTAAATTAATTTACAATATCTATATAGTAAAGGATAATTGAATAAAAGAGACACGGAAGGGAAAGAAAGCGCACGCGCACATGAATGCAACGTCAGAAGGTAGGGTGATAGTTCAGTTTGTTTATCGCCTTGTTACTCCGTTCGAGTCAGTGTCGCGCTACACTTGGGCTGTAGTAGTTCGGAGGATTTTTTTTCCAATTTTTCAAAATAACATTATATTATTAAAAATAATTAGGAGAAGAAAAAATTCCGCATTTTGACAATTCGTATGTGATACAATCAAAGTTCTTTTTTTTCAAATTAAATGGCGCGAGTGCTGTCGTTAAATACATGTGTGAACGTGTGTTATTAAAAATTTTTTTTTTCAAAATCCAAATTTCGTGCGTGTAAATTTTTTTAATATGTGGACAACTGCAAATAGATAGTTTTTTTTTTCGCGTGTGCCAAAAGAAAATTTTTTTGTTTGTGTTCCATTAATTTTTGTTTTTTGGAGTTAAATATTTTGTGTAGTTGACCTACAAGATCTGATGAACAAAATTTTTCTATGGTACGTTCCTTTTTGGAGTAAATTTTTCTTGAAGTTGTGTTACTTATTTCTTTTTGACATTTATACCATTTGACCGCAAAAATAAAACCATTCTCGCCGGCCCAACCCGCCTCTCATTGTGCGGTTTTCTCTCCTCGTACAGCCTGCTCCGTAAATATATTGATCAAATCTATTCATAAGGTTATGTTCCAATGTGTTGAGTTTTGTTTACTGTAGTCAATTTCTTTTGAAAATGAATTTTTGAAAAGTGATTTTTTTTAAAAACTAGCAAAAAGGTGATTTTGTACCAGTTTGTCAGAAATGATTTTTCTTTCATGCTCCTTTAGTGAAGAATCTACACAAATGTTTAAAATACAAGCTGGAATTTATTTCAAAGGAAACTTGCGTGCTACGGATCATGAGATTCGTGTTTTCGGAAGGAAACGTTGTATAGAATGTTTGAGCGAAACTTGACTGAATAAACGTTGCATACATGCACACGAATCACGTACACACAACACACATCGCTAGACTGTCAGCTGACTCGCGACTGGTCCCAACAAATCCCGCGATCAGCAAGACTTTCACCTTCTCACTCTTAACGAAAACTTGGAAAAAGAATTTTGATCGATTGTTACGGTTCTTTTTTAAATTCTTCTATTTTCATAAATCATCCTCACAAATGATGATCTTTAGAAATTAGGATGACAGTTTTTAAAGTCTTTTGTTTTGCTTTGAAATACTTTGAAGTTGATCTCAAAAAAGAGAGTTGATCTCAATTTTTAAATCTTTTAACAATGTGAAAAATTTTCTGAATGTTCGGACATCTAAAGATGTTTGGATGCTCCGACATTTAAGGATTTTTGGATGCTCCGACATTTAAGGATTTTTGGATGTTCCAACACCTAAGGATGTTTAAATATTTTGACACTTAAAGCAGCATTTCAAATTTACGTTGCTCCAAAAATTTTAGTACAGTTCGGATGTTCCAAACACCTAAGGATGATTGAATATTTTGATATTTAAAGCAGCTTTTAAAATTTACCAGTTGCTCTAAAAATTTTAGCATAGTTTAGCACTAATGCTGCAAGATTCCAATCTTAGGTTAAAATTAGCATCAAATTAGGATCATTGTCAATAATTTTGAGCATTAATTTCGGATTTGGTGAATGACAACAAGATCCATACGGAATTAATATTGATGGCAGCAAGCGATCTTTAGAAAGGAACATAAAACAAACTCGATAAATACTTTCATTTCGTCATAAATGTGACGTTTCATTAGCTGCAAAAAATTTGCCAATCAGACCAAGAAACAAGTTGCTTCATTTCATCAGAAGAAAAGTAAAAAATCGAAAATTTTAGGATCTGCTTTTTATTTCATCTGGTATGTAGTGTTGTGAATCCATTTCCTAATACCTTTGTTTCTTTCCAATCGTTGCGGCAAAATTACATACCTAAATTTTTTAACATCATCCTAAATTTCTATTTAACACTAAATAGATGAAAGACTTTCGGAAAGAGGTAGCAATTCGTAAATAAAATTCTGAAAAGCCTCTTTATTACGAAAAGACGATTCTTTTACTGTTTGAATGCAAAAATAGTCTGTTGATTAGAACGAATTGTACAAGATTGGGTTCAGGTCGATACTATAGTATCATTATGGTACATACAGTTCAACACAAGTTCCGCTCGTGCAGAAGTCTTAGATTTTTATCCCACTAACCAAATTGTCCTTGAAAGGCCAAACATAACAAAACTTAACTTTGCAAATATTTTCTAGCTTCTTTCAAATTTCTGTTTGTACACTCGAATCGGTCAATACTTTTACTGATTATACTTTTACTTTTATTTTTTTGTGTCTTTTTGTTTGCCTCATAAAATATGAAATTACCACGAATTCTAAAAAGAACCTTAAATTTTTTTCTATTTCTACCAATAATTTATTTTAAATAACTTAATTTTATTGAAGAACTGCCATAAAGTAATTTCTTATAAATCATTTAATGAAGTATGTTTTTTGAAAAACTTTAATTTCAATTCTGTTGAAATTAGTTTCAATTTTGAAAATTTTCACGCAATTATTTAAAAGAATTCAACTATCTTAATAAATATTAAAATTCTTTTCAAGAAATTCAATTATTTTCAAAATTTGTTTTGAAATTCTCGTCAACATTTTAATTATTTTTATAAATAGCAAAATTCTTCGTCGAAATTCAATTATATTCAGGAATTTTTATAAAATTTATTGTTAAATTCAATTATTTTTATAAATAACACTATTCATAACAATAATTCAATTATTTGCAAAATTAATAAAATTCTTTGCATAAATTAAACTATTTTCAAAGAATCCAAAAAACAAATTGTCAACATTTCAATTATCTTTATAAATTAATTGCAAAATTCAATCATTTTCAGGAATTTTAATAAAACAAATTGCAAAATTCAATTATTTTCAAAAATTTTTTTTAAACAGGGTTCCTACAGAATCTGGAAATTATGGAAAAGGCCTGGAATTTTTAAAAGTTTCTAAATTTTTTCTGTTTTCCATTTTTTCTCTTGAATAGAAATTGAAATAATAATAAATCTAAATGGCATAAAAGAGAGGAAAAAATTTTGAATTTTAAGAAATTCGGTTTTTTGAATTTTTGATAATTTTTGATAATTTTAGATTTTTTACCAAAGAGTCGAGACTATTCAATAAGTAAAGTGTTTTTAAAGAGCCCAAAAATAATGGAGCTAAATCTCATAAAAGAGAGGAAAAAATGTTGAATTTTAAAAAAATTAGTTTTTCAAGTTTTTGATAAATTTTGATAATTTTAGATTTTTTACCAAAGAGTCGAGACTATTAAATAAGTAAAGTATTTTCCAAGAGCACAAAAATAATGGAGCTAAATCCCATAAAAGAGAGGAAAAAATTTTGAATTTTAAGAAATTCGGTTTTTTGAATTTTTGATAATTTTAGATTTTTTACCAAAGAGTCGAGACTATTTAATAAGTAAAGTATTTTCCAAGAGCACAAAAATAATGAAGCTAAATCCCATAAAAGAGAGGAAAAAATGTTGAATTTTAAAAAAATTAGTTTTTCGAGTTTTTGATAAATTTTGATAATTTTAGATTTTTTACCAAAGGGTGGAGACTATTAAATAAGTAAAGTGTTTTTAAAGAGCCCAAAAATAATGAAATTAGATTTAAAATTCCACTGGAATTTCGTAAAAATTTGACCTGGAAATCATGGAAAAGATATGGAATTTTAAATTCGGATTTCTGTAGGAATCCTGTTAAATGCTCGTCAACATTTTAATTATTTTTATAAATAGCAAAACTCTTTATCGAAATTCAATTATATTCAGGAATTTTTAAAAAATTCATTGTTAAATTCAATTATTTTCAAAATTTTTTTTAATTTTCTCGTCAACATTTTAATTATCTTTATAAATAGCAAAATTCTTCGCCGAAATTTAATTATATTCAGGAATTTTTATAAAATTCATAGTAAAATTCAATTATTTTTATAAATAACACTATTCATAACAATAATTCAATTATTTGCAAAATTAATAAAATTCTTTGCAGAAATTCAATTATTTTTAAAGAATCCAAAAAACAAATTGTCAACATTTCAATTGTCTTTATAAATTAGTTGTAAAATTCAATTATTTTAATAAATAATAGTATTCGTCACAAGAATTCAATTATTTTTAAAAGTAATAAAATTTAATTATTTTCAAAAAACTTTAATTAAATTCATGGCAAAATTTCAAATATTTAAAAAAATTTTTATTAATTCATAATGATTTTCAATATTCTGGGTACTATTTTAATATAATTTTCCAAAAGAATTCAATTATTAATAAAAAATGTTGACAATATTTTACACGAACATTCAATTATTTTTCAAACAAATAAAAATTTTGCAGGAATTCAATTATTAAAAATAGGATTTGCATGAATTTGTTCGAAAAAAACCAATTGTTTGAAACATTTTTAATAAAATTCTTCGCAATAATTCAATTATTTTCATAAATAATAAAACTCATTGCAGAATTTCAATTATTTTTAATATATAATTTTAATCGAATTCCTTGAAAAATGTAATTATTTTTAAAAGTGTTATTAAAATTCGAAAAAAGAATTTAATTATTCAATAAATTATCTGTTTGTTTTTAAATAAAATAATTCAATTTTCGTAGAATTTTCTAATAAAAATAAATGAATTTTAAAGTTTTAGATAATAATTGAATTTTAAACAAATTACTAATAATTGCGCAATTTTTAAAAATAATTGAATTTTGTAAAAAGTTCAAATTAAAATCTTTGAAAATCTGAATTTTTCATAATTTTAATTTCAAATTCTATGGAATTAATTTTCTTCAAAGAGATTAATCGAAATTTTTTGCAATTATTTTAATTTTTTATTTTTTAATGTATATTTAATTGAAGAATTTCCGAATAATCGAAATTTTTGGTAAAATTGAATTGTAGACAAATGGATTTAAAAATTCTCAATGAAGAACTTTATCATAAATTTATAAAAATAATTGATTTAAAGAAGAATTTAAAAATTTTAATTTAAAAATTTTAGAAAATAATAATTTAATTGAAACGATGAAAATAATTTTAAAGAAGTTACAGTAACAATATTCTTGTATTATAATATAAAAATATGATTTTATCATCACCTTTAATCGGTCATCTTTTATTATTAAAAAACAGGAAGACAGCAATCACTCCGAGTCGAAGACTCGGAGTTATCCATTTCTTCATGTTTTATAAAAATATTCTTTCAAGTTATTGAATTTTAAAAGGTTTGAAATTAAAATTTTTGAAATCTTTTTTCCTATGAAAAATTAATAATGATTAAAAAAGAAGTTAAGTTATTGATATTTTCGAATAATTTTATTAATGAAATTCGTAAATAAATGCGATAGAACATTTTTTTTTGAATGAATCAGAATATTTTTTAGGGTTAGGGAAAAAGTGAAAATTTTGTCTGGAAATCAGGGAAAAAGAAAATT